CAATGCTGAGGCGGCATACAAGCCAAAATTTAGGCTTCAGCGCCATGATTTTGGATGGCACCCCAGATTCAATCTTTACCTGGCAATGGGTTCAACAAATTTCAGTCTTGCGCTAGCAGCTGACACGATTGGGGAAATATGTGCGCAATTACTCAAACGACCCTTAAAGTTCAGCTGAATTACCTCCCACAATGTTGAAGCCATATTTGACTTGGGCAACTTCGTGAAATTGTTCTTCAGGACAGAACCCAGCCAAGTGCTCCGCATAGCCATAAAATCTGTGTTCGTCGGAGGGTCGGAAGGTTCCACCGTAGAGACCTTTGGCTTGGGCTTGGCATTGTACCGGAAAACCGGCGCAGTGCCATTCTCCTGTCACCGATTTTGTCACAGCAACGATATATAGTTAACATGTGGATATTGACAGTTTATGCCACCAATTTTGTTAGGGTTCACACACACTCACGCCTCTGGCTTTTGCGTCATCTCGTGCTCGACCAGGTTTAGGCTTGTCACACCTGACGTGCGAGTAACGTGGCACACCAAGTCTGCCAAGGACATGGGCCGCTTGCCATTCGACCCACACATCACCAAAATTTGCAGGTCGTCGTCAACAATCCAAGGGATTGCCTTTGCAGCCACAGAGCGGGCCAGGCCTCACAAACTCTGACTGCAACAAACCACCAGCAACCTTAACCTTAAGCTTCAGCAGGAGGACAACTTGAAGCAAACGTGCGCGCAGCTTACACTGACTGTCAGGATCCAGCCTATTGGGGTCTCTGTTGCATTTGCCAACCCCAATCCAAACAGCTCGCCAGCTTTGACCTCTCGATCAGTATCGGTAGTGTTTTGAAGCCAGATCTCATGCCCACGAGTGACACAAACTTGAATCTTTGGATCGCAAGTAGCAGCACCCTTGGCCAGCAACCTGAGCACAAGGCTCACACCGAACACATCGAACCAAATATTGCCCACACCAACAGCGGCTAGCTGTTGTTGTGGCTGGCGACACGACGCGGCCACTGATCATTGGTAGTATGAGAGAAACTCTCTATGATATTAAAAACCAAATATATTATATGATATGATTTTACCCATTTATACGGCAATCAAGCAACTCAATTCGGCTTTCAAACTGCTCAATGCTAAGCACTTCTGAAGGCATGCGCGTTTGCTCAATATCAATGGGTCTATCACCGTCCTTAAATGATGGGGTGCACAAGGTTCGCGCCGAATCCTCAGCCGGGGTTGAAGTAGTCTCAGGCTCGCTTTGCGACGGCCTGACCTCTAGCGCACCCTCGTACTTCTTGTTGAACGTGTTCACCTTCTCTTTCAAAGCATTCAAATTGGAGGTGTCCGAAGCATTCTTGAAGGCATCAACAACAGCAGATGGGATCCTTATCGCACACTTGAGAACGCACGACATTTCTCTTTCACTTTCAACTGTTGGGTTGTCCAGAATCACTAAAAATCAAGTTGGGAAGATATTGGTTTGAGAACAATCCATCCATCACCCCAACATGCAAAGGTTCTGGACTTTGTTTCCATCAATAGCCAAGACCGTCGTCGTCGGGGTTGGCTTGGGATAGGGGGCGGCTGGGCGTGTCTTCGGGCCAGCTTCGGCAGTGGAATCCCACCAATCCTAGGTACCAACGTGCATGTTGGTAAGCATACTATCATTTTTTCTCTGCGCAAGTTTTGGAAAATAATAAGCCCTGAGCTGACATGAAGCCTCCTGCAATCTCCGAACCCAAAGACTGCAATTCCTTTGATTCTTCATCGCAGTAGTACGCTGTGAAAAAGTATTCGTGCCCTTGGTTGGTTCGCAACTGCTCTTTCTGAAGCTCGGCGATTGATCTGCCCCACTCGTTGAACCTGCAAAGCATCCAACAGCACAGGGAAACACCAACACCGAATCTAAGCACACGGAAACAGCCCGTCACAGTTCACGCAAACAGCAAAAATACTTTTCGCACCTGTTCGGTAGCGTGTCCACAACAAAAATCTTTTTGTTGGCGCCGTCGCTCGCAACGCCATCCAATATGCCTTTGATAATCTCCTGACATCCCTGGATACCTCTCTGCTGTACCTCAAGCTGCGTTGCTGCGACACTACAATATACAATTGTTTTTGAACTGCGCTGAACCAGAGAGACCAGGCGCTCGCAATGGAGCAGGAAGTGGGCGGTCTGGATCATTGTTGACTAAATCGCAGACTCTTGAGCGGCTGATCGGCCCCAACGACCCCAACAAAGCAGCGGAAGGTGCAAACGCCCAGTTCTTGTGTATTGGTGACGCTGCCATGATGCCTCGCAGTGGAATGACATAAAATCAACCGAATAGTCGAAGTATTTACTCTCAAACATGCACGCCCCCTGGTTTAGGTAAAATTGCATCAAGCCACTGCCCTGGCTCCTCTTACGCCTGTCTCCAGAGTGTTCGGTCGCTGAAAAGTTGATAGCAATCTCCGTTGTGTCAAAAGACCTGGAGCAACCCAATATCCCTTCCCTCTTGGAAATTGTATCTATATGAATTATTATATGAATGAATAATTCAACCAATTATTCACTTAACATGGAAGATGTAATTTGGCCAGAAAGCTTGAAAAGCAAATCTTCGAAGATACGGCGATGCATCACGACAGATTCTTGGGTTGTGCTTCCATGAACAACTGGCAAAAGAACAAATGCGCCAGCGTTGGGAGACGCAGCGCAAATTAATTTTGCGCACGCCGTCGCATCGTCCACCAACACCTTTCCTCAGCTTGAGTGACCGCATTCTACCTTCACACGTTCAAGCACTATCAATGGCTGCTCAGCGCCAACAGTCAGTACAAGAGGCTTGTCTGTTTCAAGAACAATTTGGACAAAGCCTCGCTTGGGCCACAGTGTCGCGTCCATGACCACCAGCGCCAACCTGATTCCAAACATATGTCAGAAGTAAGTCAGAAGCCAAGATCAAACAACTTGATGATTTGGTTTGATCGCACATCACACCACGCTGAGAACACTTAGAGTCTTTCTCTCTGGCATGACGAGGAACGACGACCCACCTTGGCGCTGGACTTGCTCCAAGAAATCTGGGACGCAATCTTCCAAGTTTTTGACCTGGACGTAGCGCTGGTGAAGCTCGCAATATTTTTGGACTTGGACAGTGCCACGGCTGTAGCGATCCGACAAGTACTTCAAGTCAAGATTACCCTTAGCGTGCAATGGCGTTGCATGCGCGAACCTGCAAGTATTACAGTGTTACCCTCCCTGTAGCTACACCGCAGCGCAAGAATATAATAGCATGTAACCCAGCAGCAGCCAAGAAACTTGACGGTCGCAATAAATCTTCTTCTCATCAAAGTACTGCCCAAGCGTGGCCAATTCATTTTCCATCTCGACCTGCATCTTGGAGAAGGACGCTGCAGCCAGTTCGTCGGCCAGCCTTCCCAATGAATATGATCGCGCTTCAAAAGGTGTTTGTTCTAACGAAACTGTGCGCTTTGTGCATCCTTCAGGGAAACTTAGTGGGGCACTTCTCTGCCGCTTTCACATTCATGTCAGACACCTCTGCAAAACATAAATGGTCAGTCACTTGCCACACATCAGCCTGAAATGACCCTCAATTTAAATCAATAGACCCCTGGGCCTCCTTTGCATGTTTGCTGCACGCAGAACGGAAGGCTGAAATAGCAATGATGTCTATTGGAGGCACACTACCCTCCAACATGGCAGACAGCTCACTGTCCAAATGGCGAAGATTCCACCTTGCATCTTACTCAAAGAGAGACACACACAACTTAGTGGACAAGTCATGAGAAATCTCAGCACTTGAACGTTGCTAAGAAGAAACATGTCAAAAGTACACTGTCACGCAAGACACGATTTCATGATTGCAGGGAGCTCAGCATCTGTGAACTTGCTTGGAAACTTCTTCTTGAAGATGCGGAGACAGCTAGCAAACAAGCAGGCCCTTCGTTGCAACACTTCCTAACTCAGAAAGTGAAGCAACCGACGGCTCGACATGATTGACCACTAAATGGGATTCACTCAAAGTGACATGAAGAATTTAAAACCAGACCAGGATCAAGCTCTTTTGTGCCGTATGGTTTCCGCATACGTGTGTTCAAGCTGGTCCAGTCTCCTCCTCCGAGTTGTGGAGCTCACTCTCCCACATCGCGCACTGCGGTGTGGAACCACAGTACGTGTTGTTGAAGAGTCCCATCGCTATGGGCTCGTGAACCAAAAAGCGGCCCATTCCATAAGTCCTGGCCAGCTCAGCCCATTAAACCTAAACAGTTCCATTCTAACCGTGTCCTGACAATCTCTGTGAGGCGCCAAACAATGCTGTTCGGCACGTGGCTCATTAGGTTCAGCGCCGCCTCGGCCTCGCAGCGGCCCAGGCTATATGCCGCTGCGAAGCTTGTTGAGGATTCCCAGGCCTGCCAGAACAGCCACGGATTCAGAAAATTACAGTGATCTAAAAATAACATCTAAATAAAAACTATATCTACAATAAAAGCATCAGGAACTCACTCTGACAAGGGAAGGCCTCCAAAGATCCCGTCTGGAGAGAATCCACTTTCTTCTGCAGTTGCAATTGGAAATGCAAATGAAACGCATTGGGTTTCCGTCGGGTCGATGTGCTTGCAAGTGTGATACCTGAAAAAGCTAACATCCAATCATTCGCAGAACTTGGGCAAACAAAACACAACAACTCGTCAACATACGGAGCATCCACATGACTGCACACGTCATTGATCCCAGGGCACTGCGATTCCGAGCAATCAAATCATTTGCGGTGCTGCAGCAAGAATTTGTCGCGTATATCGTTGCCAAGCTCCTGAGTATAGTAGTCAAACACACACCTGCAAGACTTGATGAACTCTCTTCACCGCACAGCCCATATTGGGGTCAAGTGGCGTCTTGAGTTCTTCTGGCCACTCCTGCACACAAAGTACGCAAATTAAATGTGTGCGGGGGCGTGGGACTGGGTAGCATTGTCTTTTCTTTCAGGTCAAGGCCCATCAAGGCCCGCCTCCAAAACATCCTGGTTCTTGTACGCATACAGCAAAACGGCCACGGCGCAGAAGCAGCGGGTAAAACCCTTGACATAGAACACACTCATGGGTGGTAAGTACTCGTTCATGGAGTCGCCTTGAACCTCATGCTCCGCGATCTGCGCTGTGAAGACTACGGGGATCGGTTCGGTCAAAAGCTCTGCGTTGACCTTGCAGATCGCAATCTTCTCGACACCGGGTTCGTCGGCGTTTGTAGCAAACCTTGATGGCAAGTGTCCGAAGCTGGGTAATGTTGCATGAGAAGGACCAAGCGCTGCAACAAACCAAACACCTATTATATTCAAATATATAAATGAAGCCACTTGGATGATACAATAAGCTGACACAGCATTTGGGCCACGTCCTGAGCAGTTGCACGGACAGTAGAAGGAAGAGTGTGTCCACTTCATGCCAATTAGACCGAGTCCGTCGGGCTAAGGCCGTGTCCGGTTCTATGTAACCTCGAAGTCCGAATTGCGCATGAAAGTTCAACATCCAAGGACGTAGCTGAACCGGGCCCGGAGAGTCCAAGCTGTTGGGGGTAGCGTAGCACCTAACATCTGAGAAAACACGCGCACCTGCACACATACACTGTCCTCACTACTCGGGATTGGACACGCTTGGGTCTGGCGGAAATTTGTCCTCCACGAACTTCCAAAACGTCGTGAGCTGGTCCTTGAGTGCGTCACTTGTACAACATAAAGGGAACCACAATTTTTGAAAATGGTCCTGATCTTCCACCAACGTCTTGGTCATGTACTTCTCCAAGCTGTTGTGCTCGTTCAGAATCACACCCCTCGGTCACAGTCAGGTATGAAGTAAAATTTGGAGTTCGGATTGCAAAGCAACGCCACCCGACAGAACCCTGATACTGGCATTGTTACACCTTAGGTCGTTGGCTGAGGTGGAACGCAACCAAGAAACAGCCATTTGTCAAAGCGCTGAACCCGCTCCTTCAGCAGCGCCTCGACTGGCACTTTGAGTGGCGCATCTGTCAGCTTCGGTTGCTTTGCACTTCCCGGGCCATCACCCGATTTGCGCTTAGCGCCCATTGCTCAGAAAGCCTTCACTGCTACCGTACTATGATTGAACCGCTGTTCAAACGATCAGCGTATTCAAGAACACGTTCAGGAGAAATCATAAGTTAAACCAGTGAAAGCGATCGGACGCAGCCTTCCACAAAATTGTTTCACCACAACAAAACAGGCACTAAAAGCATCACCTGCCCCAAACAAAAGTACAACTCCCTCAGCACATTTAGGGACCTCGCATCCGCCACAATGTTTGTGCATAATTTTGATGTCGCTGATATTCTGCACAAACGTGTTTCCAATTCATGTCTCAACATATGGTTTTTAAGTCTACTCAGTAATGTCCACGCTGCACCCAACACCCGTAGTGTTTTAGGGTTTAGGATTGCGCTACCCAGCAAAATTTGTGCAGGATGTCAGTGACATTCTGCACAAACACTGTGGTCATCCTTAGAATGATTTTGTTTTTGATTGTGTTAAATTCAACATTTACTAGGGAATGTCCATGCCGCTCCCAAAAAACCGTACCGTTTGGGGTTTAGGGTTGCACTACCCAGCAAAGTTTGCGCAGGATGTCGGTGACATTATGCACAAACTGTTTTCATCCTTTGAATGAAACATATAAATATCTAGTATTCAATTCACAGTTTACCGGGGAATGTCCATGCCGCTCCCAAAAAACCGCACCGTTTAGGGTTTAGGGTTGCATTGAGTCACTAAGTGATCAACTGCACAAAACTTCCTTGAGTACCCAACCCCTCACAGCACAACAGTTGGCCCAATCCAACAAGTGGCACAACTCTGATTCGTGCATTATGTTGACAACATCATGCAGGAAACCTAGCATGGCCATATGCAACACACCCTGTTCCAAACCACATGCCCAGCAATGTGCGACCCTGAAGTTTGGAGATTGTGTTCATGCATGATGCTGTCAACATCATGCACATCCACATTTTACATTCTGAAGGCGTGTTTGTGCAGAACTCTCACCCTGCCACTCTCCATCTTCGCGCTGAGAGCTAAATGAAACAGATGTTTAAAGCTGTAAAAGTTTCAACACCCAAATGACGCTTAAGACTCTCTCCATGTTCAACGCTCACAGCGCAAAAAGATGCAAAAAGCTTTGGAGGTGTCAGCTCCACTCGCTGGAAACTATCACTCCTCAATCACTGCATCAAAAGCTTCTTGCACCGTGTTCAGCGCTAACTCCCAAGGAAGTCCGTGTGACCACAGTCTAGCAGCGGTTTGGTACACGTAGTAGTTTTTCCTACGGCTCTTGTACTTGTCCAGCACGGGCCTCTTGAACGAATCCGCTTGGAGCTTAATCACATTTGCACCCTGGCACGGAACACGCGCAAACAATTGTAAGTTTGAGCGCTGCCCGCCCCCTAAGCTCACCACTGGCTCCACATTCTGACCACGCGGGGCTATAGCCACACCACCGCTTCCAACCGCTGGTCCCACGGAAGGGAAAAACCTTGCACGGACTTCTGTGTCTCCAACAACCTAAAAATTTAATTGGTGTCCATTTTCATTGAGGGTCGAGCGCCCCAATTGGGTACAGCGGTTCTCGTGCGTTTGCCCCATCGGCCAACTGCTCCAAATAGTCGGCAGCGTTGCACAAAGCAAATGGTTCAACTCCTGCAGACACAGCTCGAAGCAGACCATAAGAACGAAAGAACACATCCATTCCAGCAGAGGGGAAGCCACTGTGAAACGGGTAGATTATCGCTGACAAGGTGCTCAAGGCAGCTGCATACTTTCGGTAATTCTCTGCCGTTTTGGGCTCGATGACATTCTCTTCCGCCACAACTTAGTAGATACAATGAACACCCTGGCGTTTTAACTTTGCAAGAAACAATTGTGGAGGTATGGGCTATGGACTTGCGTCAAAGCAACCAACTGGTGGACCCTGGAGCGCAGCCGCCACACGGGCAGGCAAGCGCAAAAGGACTTTGTCCTGGAAGGCGGCGTCAGCCATATAGCGTTTGGTCCTGGCAGCTGCTCGGACTTAGTAGGAACTCAACTCCAGGACAGTTTTACAATTAAGTTTGACTGCGCGCCGGCCACCCCTCCCGAAGATTTGTGACAACCCTGATACGGGCTCGAGGTTATCTACAAAACAAAACCACACGTCCTCAGAATCACATCGTCCGGTGATGCCACGGTCACCCCACGTCGCACCCAGAACGCACTTTGCACATCAGGATATGCTCCTGGGTGACAATGGGGGTGGAACCTCTCAAACGACGCGCCCATCATGAGGGAATCGTGAAAGAGTTTCATTTACACAAACAACATAGACATAGCGCGTGACATCTCAAACCAAAGAACCACAAACCAGTTGGGGGTCCTCCCAAGGAGTCTCGTCTGTCTAGGGCGAAATAGTGCGGCGCTCCGGGGCCGCCCATGCCCCGAATGAAATTTCCACAGCACCCGATTTGAAGCCAGGTCGACCTGATCGTGAAAACGGCTGAAAAACAGCCTTCATCAAACCTGTATATATATATATATACTTATTTAAGGTATATACACTATATGTTATGATTTATTGTTTATCAAAATGCAAGTTGAGAAATAGTTCGAACAATCTTCTCTTCAGCTATTATGGCTTTAAGACTTTGCAATGAGAAATTACATCGGTTGGCAACTGGAACTATTGTGTAGAATTTCTGAAGAGACTTGGTCCAAAGGATGGAAACACGTTACTGTTCGACACTTATCTTGCCTCACCGTTACTCAACCTTGATTTCCGCAACCCCATACCATTTGGAATTTAGCCAAAGATCCACGCCCGCACAGAATCCACCTTGATGGCTTCGCGATTCCTCTCTTCAGGCCTAACAGATGGGTTCGACAAGTAGGTGTTGACAGCTCCAAGAAATTCTTGGGGTGAACGCAGTTCACGCTGTGTGGCCAAGAACGCTCCGAGCAAAGAAAACATCTGGTCGATGTCCTCATGATTGTGTCCACTCATGCAGAAGCACACCCGAGCTGCTCGGATGCGTTTCCGGGCAATCATATAAGACAGATACCGGAGAACTGAGTTCGACTTGGCCTCCTTGGAGGCGTTGTCGGCCTGAATGATCACCCGGTATTGCCTCAAGTCGCAACCATTCAACACCAGTCGGTGGAACAGGATGGACAAAAGCTCAATTGTCCAGTTGGCACCTTTTGGCAGGTGTGGCTCGCTAAATGCGATTGCGAGATAGTGTCCGTGCGCAATGATCCCGGTGCAATCCAGCACGGGTCGATGTAGCCCGTTGAATGATTTGGCAGCGAGAACCTCCGACCTAGGTATTGCCCACTTTGATCTGTCCATCGAGTCGATGATCAGGGTCACCACTTTCTCACCGTCAATGTCTTGTCCGATTCTTGAAAGTGACCTATTGGTCCAGTACACTTGTCTGTCTTCGAATTGTTGCTGTAAGTGAAGGCCCCACATCTTGGCCTGGGCTACGCGAGCCAACTCGTTGTCGTCTCCAATCTTCTTCATGATAACTTTGCGCTTGATGCAGGTATTGCGCTTCCCATGTTGGGAAGGTGCTCGAATTCGCAGTCGATTTGCGAAGCCCTCTTCCCACACCTAAGGCATCTGATGCACCAAGAGGCGCACAACAATAGGGCCAACTATCACCTAGTTGTCCATATTTTTGTGGTCTCAGGGCACTTCCCAACCAAAAGGACGTGACTATCGTCATGGAGATTATCCTCTTGTGGTGGGTGATAACAACCAACAGCCTTAGGTATCGAACATAATAATTTGTAAAGCTAGCGAGAACCGAATGTCTTGGGCCCATCCCCGTCCCTGTCCCCGTTGTGGCACCAAGAGACTCGCATAAATAGCTTCAAGCTGACCCTTACGAGTGGGTGCTCACTGTGGAAGAGATGCAAATACTCACTGAAGCTTCCAGGGGGTAAACACCGAAGTTCTTTCGCCTGCACTTCATCAAGTTTATCGTCTCGTTTCTTCTCATTCCGCGGGCGCTTGCCCTTGCGGATTCGAAATCGCAGCGGCCGGCTGGTCTGCTGGCGGCCTCCATGATTTGCATTCACTTCCGGCATCGGCTCGGAAAACTTCAGCCACGTGTTATTCAAAAACTCGTGGATCTTCTCCTGCTTGTGAGCGTTGAAGCGGTCGGGCCGCTTCCCGAGCCCTGCTTTCGCGACCCGCCCGTCCAAGGGACATGGGTCTCCAGAGTTGATGGCCTTGCGAAGCCTCACAAGTCTTGATGATCCGATACCCAAGATCCGGGCCAAACCCCGGAGACAAATCTTTTGCCCCAAGAGCTTGAAACCCGTTGCTCTTTCCTGCTTTCCTGCGTCCTCAATCGCACGATCTCGCTGCGACAGGAGATTGAATACCTGGGAAAAACTGTCAATCGTAGCAACCAAATTCTTATTTGATATCATATCATTGAAATTTGCAAAGCCGTGGAAAGATGAAAACAAACCAATATCTTACCTTCAACGTCAAACTACTCTTCGGTCTTGATCTTGTTTCTCCATTGAGGCCAGGTCCTTTCGCAATTGCAACAACTTTGTAAATGTATGTTCTCCTTGAAAACGACGAAAGCAGCTTGGCTTTGTCTTCGACAAAGCGGAGCACTTGCACTTTGTCAGCACAATCTGATGCAGCTGCTTTTTCAACGGCCCGAAGGAAACAAGCCGCAATGCTGATGTGCTGCGTGAAGCCTGGGACCTTTCAACAAGTGCGCCTTGCGACGCACTTGCGGCAGAGGATCTGGACCCTGGTGACGCAGCTGGTGCGGCATGCTGCGCACTAGGACCATCGTCATCTGACAGGCAATCCACGTTGGCTATCATGAAAAAGCGAGCATTGCCGCGATGGGTGTGAAGGACACTACGGAACAAAGCTTCTCCCACTCCTTGAAACTGCCCAACCCAATTTGCAATGATTTCAGTTGATTAGGAACACTAAAAAGGATCATGGTTAAATAGTTCATAATACTTCTGAAGCTGCAACGTGTCCTGCAATGACATGCAATGACCTAACTTTTGCTCCGTCCAAGCGCGCTTGCGCCTTTACCCGAAGGGATGAACTTCCACGCCAATGACAACCGAGAAAGCGAGCGGCAACCCACAAAACAATTCAAACATCCGAACACCTTTGTTTTGCAACGCCCGGTTCTTGCAAATATACAATGAAGAACACCGCGGATCGCAATGTGTCTATTTACACCTAGTGCACCAGCCCCACACCAGGTGGATTTCAACACCCTGGACGGAAAACACCAAAACGCATACGGCTCATTGATCCCACTCACTGGCGCCCAACCTTGACCGGGCCCGCGTCAAACCATGCGCACGTTGGGCAACTGCCGGGGATCGGCTCCGAGAGTGACGCGTGGCCTCCGAGGCAGTTCCACACGCGACCGCCGCGCATGAAGCAAGACAAAGACTTGCCTACGGGGTTGGAGCTCTCTCCATACTGAAACACAGCACCAAGGTCCTGAAGTGCGTCAAACATAGAACATGACATTCACCTGACTCAGCAAAAGGAAACTGGTGATGACAGCCTCCTTCGTGACATTGGAAGCTTTTGCATCCTGAAAGCGGACCGCAGCTCGACTAGATTGAAGCACTTGCTCCACTCACAGTAAAGCTTTAAATCCAAGTGATGAAGCCATGAACAAAAAATCACATGTTGGAGCCCTGACCCTCACAACTGAAGTTTCTGCTGCGCAGGCCTGCGCGTCTCCAGCTCCACATTGATCTTCGTTCCCGGTGTCTTTAAGAGCCTCCAAAGCGCAAGCATGTAGGACATGGCAAGGAAGCTTGTTGGTTAAGGCGAACCCACACAACTTGCTTTGAGCTCAGAGCAAATCTGGCTTCCTTTGCCAGTGGGGTGGGCTCCTGGCCTCTGTGGCTCATCGGTAACAAGACTGTTTATGATATGTTACTGCATAAGTGTTCATGCAGAGCGCGCCTTCTGACACAACAGTGTTCTGCTGCACAGCTGCCCCCTGAGGTGCAAATCAGACGCACGTTGCGTCGAAGTTCAAACTTTCAAGTTCAAACTCACCCCATCAGTCAATGCAAACATTTTGCAGTTTGCGCGCCTTGGAAAGCACACGGCCCGGGTCTTCCAGACACGGCGGCTTGTCCTGTCGCAAAAACGAACACAGTAATCATAACAGCGTCAGGCAAGCTCAGCTTGGTTCCCCAACTGTAACCGAACCATTAGGCCGAAGATATTTAGCGCAAACCTTGCCAGCGGACAGCGAAAACTGATGACTAAAAAGTTGGACTAGTTACACGCATACGAGTCCACAACTTAAAGAAAGAAAAGGCTCACTACGACCAGCCTCGTCCTCAAACGATCTCCACAAGTCAAAGTCAAGGGCTGCCCCAGGATTGACTTGACACACGCCATCCCATTTAACAAGAACACCGTCCTCTCCCTCATACCAGTCCCATGATGAATAATCAGACTCGTCAGACTCGTCAAACACAGTAAAAGGAGAAGTCTCAGCCACAGTCGCAGAATACTCTGTGCAAATATCCACGTCAGCAGGATCCTGCCACGCAATGAAAACGATAGCGCAACTTTTCAATAGGACAGGAACGCCTGAGACTCTTCGGCGGGCGTTTCCAGGACTCCCATGTCGGCACTCTCATCAAGCTGTTTGGACATAAGGCACTAAGATTCTCCAATGATGAGACGACAACCCCTGACAGAAGCGATGCAGCGGCTGCGTGAAAAATACACATCAAAGAATGACCAAACAATTCTGCATGACAATCTCAATTGCATATTACACGGCCAAAGTTTTCGGACCCCAGTTTGAACTTGCACATCTCCAGTGGCACTAGTGGACAATTTCAACTAGCACCTGCCATCAAATTGCGCCATCAAATAGAAGGCCTTGAATCTACTACGGCTTGTCGCGGACATGGGGACGATCACAACCAAGATTCAGTTTCAATGGTTAATCACGACCGATGACACAATGTAAATGTATAAACATACTTTTGATTTGAACTCGCAAACAAATAAGTTTCCCCTCTTAAACCTGCAGGCGGAGCTAAGCTCTCATAGAGTGCTCCAGCACATGAAGAGCTAGTTGAGCACACCGAGGGATCACCATATTGCCTACACTTTGCAACCTTTGCTGGTCTTGCTGGGTGCATTCAGTTGAAAGCCAGCAATGCAGCTCAGGTCGGTCACGATGGTTCCACGGCTCAAGCGCCCGGCTTTCCATCTCATCCGAGGTCATCAAAGTCAGGTTCTGAAAACACAAGCAAAAGGTAGATTTGAAACTCAAACAAAAAACACGACAAGGTAGAGTTGAAACTCAAGCAAAAGCTCCTGGAAATGGAAGTCACCCTTTGTCGCCAATAGAAACACTCGTTCTCTGCACACCTTGAGATTTGACAAATTTACTTTATAACAAGAACTTGCCTGCGCATCAGCGCTCACGAACCCAGCCTGA